ATAAAAGGCAAAAGAGAATCACCTGCCTTCCTTTATGTTTGTCTTACCATACTAGCATCTGGCACAATGCAAAAACCGAGTATGTGATGTTCTTCAACACTGTGAATCAAGACTTATTTTTAAAGCAGATGATGTTTGGCTGTTATCATACCAGTATACCAATGAACTCCATAAATAGAACTGGACAGCCATATCTATAGGACAAATCTGCTTTAGAAAGACAGTTCATTTCATTAAGTAATATGGGGAATTGGACTGGACTAAATACAGGTAGTTCTTGGCTTACAGCCATTCAAAGATACAACGGCACTGAAAAATGTGACTTATGACAATTTTTCACACTTAACAACTGTTGCAACATCCCCAGGGTCAAATGATCATAACGGGCGTCTGGCAACTGGCATGTATTTATGATGATTGCATTATTCTAGGGTCATGTGATCACCTTTTGCAACTTTCTGAAAGCAAAGTCAATGCGGAAGCCAGGGTCCACTTCACAACTGTGTTACTACCGGTAATTTAACTGTCAGGGCTCCGGCATCCACCCCCATTTAAATCATGAGTCTCTAGCCTCATCTCTCAGAGTTTACAGATTTATTAAGAATGAACATGCCGGTGCTACCTGGGTGTAGCTGACTCTGAGACACATCATTCATTTCACCCTTGACCCTGATCTTCCCCCACCCCCTGGATGTATATTCTCCAATGGGACCCATCCATAGACAAGAGTCATCAATCATGCTCTCCAATAATAATCTTGCATGCCAGAAGCTTCGGCCGCCTAGAAATTATATATGAAGCATTTAAGGAATGCACTCCTTCCCTCACACCCTTTCTGCTGGCAACTCTAAAAGACCAGAGAAATATTTTTGAGTTGACATTCAGCTCCCCTCATTTCTTGAAGGTCACCTTGTACAACACAACAAAAAACAAATTTATTGCAGATATAGAACTTAGGGTTGCGAACCCCCCCCCCCCAAGGCTTGGTTGGGTTTTCTGCATGGGATCTCGTCACAAGGTGATCGGCTTCGACGTTCCTACTCTTTACCCAAGATGTTTCTGATAAGAGGTAGTCCTTCCACTTGATTAAATATTGGAGCTGTCTCTTGTGCCACCTCGAATTGAAGATTCACTGCACCTCATAATGGGTTTGGCCCCCTATGATCACGGGGTCTAGGGGCTCACAAGGTAGTGGCCTCAGGGTCAATCCCATGATGGGTTTTAAGAGGCTAATATGGAATACTGGGTGTATTTTCCCTAACAGCCAGGCAACTTCAGTTGCACTGAAGGTCCCATGAACTTTGGCCCCAACTTCTTTCTAGGGAGCCTTAACCTCAAGTATTTGGTGGGGAGGTGGACCTTCTCCTCCACTTGGAACGGCCTTTGCGGGGCCTGGTGTTTTTTTCTGCCTGTCTCTGTGCCACTTTTGCCAGCGCCTTTTTTACATTCTCCTAAGTTGCTTTCAGCATTGACATCCAATCAGTCAAGCTGACTGAGGAGAGGGGATCCCTTGGATACTCAGGCATTGGGACGAAGTCCATGCCGCTCACTAATTTGAAGGGGGTTAATCCTGTGCTACTGTGAACAGCATTATTGTACTGTAATGATTCACTTAATTAACTGTAGTGATTCACTTAACAAGTGTAGCAAGAAAGGTCGTAAAATGAGACAAAAATTTACAACTATGTTGCTTAGCAGTGGTAATTTTGGGCTCAATTGTGATCATAAGTAAAGGACTACCTGTATATAAGATTGCAACTACTGGATTTAATTCTCTTAATTCCAAAATTTATGATAACAATATTATTGGAAAGAATTGAGATATTTGTCTGAATTGGGTAGAGTAAAAAGGAAATAGCGCCATTAGGAATCTATACTTTTGAATACTACCAATCTACTGTACTGTATTGTTTAATACTATACTGTACCGACTTCCATTATCTCTACATTACCATATTTATGGTTACATTGAAAATGTGGGAAGACTCAGACATACATATACTTTGTCCTGCATTGGACGATGGAAATAAAAGATTATTGGAAATTCTAATATAAAGATTGGATCTAAATTAATATTAATTGGTGAGAAGGATAAGCTTCATGCTTTTAAAAACCTTCAAATGGAATTCAGACTCTTAAGTTTAGTACTTTGTTTTATCTAGATGCCTTGCCAATTCCAAAATCCTGAGACAATCCTATAGAATTGTAGAACATGGTGAAGTTGTTTTTATAAATGTAGATATTTCTGTATTTGTATGTTAGATCTGTGTTGAATCTGACCTATAAATCAAACAGCTAAACCTCTGAGTCCATTATTCAATTCTAAATGGAACTACAGGAACTTTCAAATATTTAGACGGAGCTGCACTTGGTACAGCATAAAAACCTAATAAACAATGGAGATTTAAATAAATTAGTGGCTTCTTCAAGTTAAACTACCCTAAACATTTAGCCACAATCCTGGCATTGCTTTATAGGTAATTTCAAACATGCCTGGGCATTATTTTCAGCCACTGCTTGTTGGATCAGTGGCCATAAGCTCAGTTTGACGCAGCTACATACACATAAAAACTCATTCATCTCACTCAGCTGTTTCCAGGTGTACAACACATTTGCGCATACCTCACTGCCATCTTGATAAAGGGACATCTCCAAAGAGCTGATGCTGTTTTCTCAGGCATTCAAGGAAAATAGGAGATTGCTATCTGATATTTTGCACCATTTAAATGTTATTTTATTAAATATGTTCAGTTCAAGGTTTCATTGTGACAAAGCTATGAAGGTTCTATTAACATTCAGGAAAAAAACCCTAACTTTATTTTATTATTTCACTATCATGCAAAAAAATTGCATCAAACGTGTTCCATTTCCTGTGTAAAACTGGACATGATATAGATGCTTACATTAACCTCATAGGAGAACATTAAGAAAGCCAAAGGTCTATAGCTGTGTTTGAAAATGGCCGTACCAAGCTAAGATTCTCATTAAATTGGAACAGGTCTTACAGACGGTAAAAACAAAGACAAAACAACTCAAACGGTTCCAAAAATATGTTTTAAGGATGCAGATACTCAATACAGAGGATTATGAATAATCAGATAAAGACAAGAAAAGATCAGACCTAGAAGCATGCACATCTTTTATTACGCAGTGTAACTAATTTCCTGTTCCTCACTTTGTAACATTATTCCTTAAAATCCTAATAAAATTATCAGGGGTTTTACTTCACACACTTAGTCCTAGATGTGTTCTACATTAAATTTATAGGAAAAAGCAAAGTTTTTGTCACCTTCCAGATGATGTTGAATTAACTCCATCCGTAACTCCAGCTCACAAGCCAATGGTGAGGGATACTGGGAGGTGTAGCCAGCAATAACTGAAGTGTCACAGGTTCTTTAGTCCCAGTAGAACATCTCTCTTGTTTGAGAAAATATTCTCTCTCTTTATAAAGGAGAAGGAAATTTTGCACAAACCTCTGCAAGAAGGAATGCTTTTTTCCTGCACTGAGTCATAAGCTATCACAAATATTATGGAGCTGAGTTAGGAGTTTCTCATTAGAAGAACAGAAGAAGGTATTTATTTCCCTTCCAATTCATATTGAAATTAAAATTTTGTATTATCCTAAGCTCCATTAAATTCACCCTCTATTTTCTATTTAATTAGACAGCAAAATTATTCTCCATCCTATTTCAGGAACAAAGGGAACAATTTGATGGAATTCCATGTTCTCGGATCTAATGAATAGTCATAAAAATGTTTGATGTGCATTGTACACAAGGGGCAGAGAATGTCATGGTGTAAATCTGATCTTGGAAATTTATTGGGAAGGCTTTTATCCCACTTCTGTACTCAGAAACTGAAAAAAATAATAATCAAACCATAAAGTTGACAAACACTTCTGATGTAGGAAATAAAGAACATTACTTGCTTTCTTTGTAGCAAAGACAATAAATATGTTTGATGCAAAAGTTCTATGGTTAAAACAACCCTCCAAAAACTACAGAACAGGAAATAAAGCAACGTCAAATAGACTGGGCTACTGAAAAAAGCACTTCTGGAAGTTGCTGGCTCCCTCTGCTAGTTTTATCAGAAAACAAATCAAACTGGGAAACCAGTTAGCCCCATAATTATAGAGAGATTCTTTTAAATTCATAGATAATATAGTATTTTAGTATAACACAGAGACTAAATTACACACCATATAGGAAGCAAATGCATGTGTGTGCAAATCTTCAGGGCGGAGTGTAACAAAGCTTTTCAACTGTTTCCTAAGGAGCACATATTCTGCAGCACTCTGGATCCCATCTATTCTAAACAATAAAAAATAAAACAAAGTAAGCCATTCACATATTTTTTTTGCCCTCTTAAGATTATTTGCTTTTAAATTCTACCCTTATAAGTTTTACATCATCGAGGAGTGGCTGTTTGTAAAAATCAGTGCATCTCTGAAGCTCCTATGCTAACAAAACCAGCTCGTACTTGTTCTTTAAAACATTCTTGTTCATTTTTATCCAGTCCATCAGTGGGAGCCAGTAGCCAGGCTCATCTTTACTGCTGAGGTTTGGGCTCCAGTTGGTTGCTGGGTTGCTGGCAGCAGCGTAAGGAAAGTCCTCCATTTTGCTTTACCCCTTTTCTTTAGACTGGCCCTTGTGAGCTCGCCACCATCAGCCATACCTCACTGATTAAAGCAGCAGCATAACCCGAAGACAAGGTCAATTTCCACTGGGCCTACAGCAGAGGACAGCATCCTGCTGCCTAAGAGGCACAGTCTCTCGCTCTCAAACTCCTTCTCTCTCTCCCTTTCTTTGCTCCAATTCTGAAAGATGCTTCACAGCTGTTGCTCCGTCATCAGCCCTGCAGGGGAGGTGCTGGGTACTCCATCACAGATGATCTCTTTTCTATACGAACAATATGGGTTTCTCTCAGGATTTATAAGACACCTTCATACAGCAGAAACAGACACGATGGATCCATGGAAAAACAACAGAAA